TCTGTACCAATTTTTTTACTTCGTTTTTCTTCCGTTCTTCATTTTTTCTACTTCATCATTTTCTCTTTTTCCTTTAATATTAACACATCTCTACCCCCAACTGTTTTTTCAGCGAGGCCTTTTGCATGCAAAATCGCTTTGTCCTAATTTACTTACCGGTATAATTTTGTACCCGGATCAGCATATTCTTAATCGGTGTAGTAGTAGAGAGCCTCCTCACTCTGTACTTTGAGCTTCTCTCATCCACATAATTCCATGGTGTGGTTCAAGCGAATCCTTCTACCGCATTTTTGGCCTGCTCTTTGTGCCTGGGCATAATTTAGTAATTCGTTTTACCAAAACTTCTTTTAAAAAAAAATAGCCTACAAAGTTGTTATTTATTACTGTATGATGGAATTATTCAAAAAATTCCAAATTTTTTGTTTTTTTTTTGAAAAAATTCTAAATTTTTTTCTTTTACACTTTCCCAAACATTTTCGCTTTAATGACCTTTTATCCATCAAATCGTTGTTGGACTGAAAAGATATTTGTCTGATGAGTTTTCTTGTAATTTTTTTATTTTTTTTTGATGAATCCAACTTCATATTTCAGTGATATTTCCGGTTTTCCAGGGCTTTGCCACTTCGATGGCCGTTCGGGAGCAGCGATTCGCGTTATCGTATAGCCAAAATAGGCGAGGCACTTCTCGAGCAAAAATACGACGTAGTTTCTCTTGAAGAAGTAAGCATTTTGCTTCAGGGCAGGGGATTTCCTCTTTATATTTTATCCATTATTCGTCATCTATTATATTTGGATACCATCCACTAATCCGCTTTATTCATCTGTTGTTTCAAAATCAGAACTTTGAGCCTTAAATGTTTTTTTTTTGATAAAAAAATTATGAGTTGTGTATCCTTTATCTATGTCACCGTTGATGGGGCAGAGAATCTGTGATTTTTTTTTTTTTTTTGTATTTTAGGTGTGGAGTGAAGATGATTTTATTCGTTTGCAGGAAATGCTCAAAGTGGCTTACCCTTTCAGCTATTACTTTCACAGGTACCATTTCTAGCAGGTTAAACACATTAAATGCATTTTTTTTATGTCTAGGAATCACTGGTGAGCATATAAATTTTATTGGAACAACTCGCATCAGCAACGGTTTCTTATAGATTCTTTTGAAAAAGTTCTGTGTTGCAGTGGCTTTACCGGAAGCGGTGTATGCATATTTTGCCGCCATTCGATTGTTTCAACTTTAATGCATCGTTATTCTTTGAACGGGTTTGCTCATCACATACACAGGTATGCTTTGGGAGCCAAATTTGAAAAAAGCCT